CTTTTATCGATAAGTGTATATTAGAATTTGGAAAATGTAGGCAGGGACTGTATCGAGGATTGGAACTCTGTTTATCCTCGATGAAACAGCCTGTAGCCTGTAGGAAGAGATGGAAGCAGGAATAATACTCTTACCGTGCTCATCAGGACCAAAATGTAGCTGAGCAAACCCTTGCCGTGGTACCTCACCATCTCCGCGTCTGCAACCACCATGATCTCGATGAAATATTCACTTGACAAGGCTCTACGTGGTCTCCAAGTCACGGAGGGATCCGATTCCATTTCCGAGTCCTGGCTGTACTCCTCGCTCAGATCATTTCGTCTTCGCTCCACGGAGTAGTATCTGTAACATTTTAAACGGCCTTCTTCTTAGGTTTTGACACTGGAGAACTAGGATATTCCGGGTGTATCGAGCGTTCGCACGGGCTGAGTCATTGTGCCTTATTGTCACTGTAATATATCCTTGGCTCGGACGGAGTATACCTTTTATGGGGTTACAGAAGGCGGAAGGAAATATTCTTTGAATTCTTTCTTTATGGCAGAGTTCGTTGTTAACACGCTACTGGGGATGTAGGTCAGTTGAATTGCGTGTGGATAATTTTCAAGATACTTTAGATTAATGTACAATAAATTGTAAGTACTATGTTTAGAGTGATCATAATAAAAGTTGGTGATTAATATGACATTTTAGATATTGAATTACTTTGATATAGTGATTACTTGATGTTGGGTGATTATGGTTATTTTTGGTATACAGGAAGCATTTGACTATTATCATATTTAGTATACAGTGAATACTGATTGTAAGAGATTAGTGATTGTACACTATGCATTTAGTATACAGTGAGAACTAATTGTAAGGGTTTAGTAACTATAACTGAATGCAATGTACAGCAAATACTACATCTTTAATGACTGCAATCACATTTAATATATAGGGAGTACTCTATTTTTGGTAATTAAACTTATATTTTTAGTATACAGTGAATACTAATTGTAAGAGTTTAGTGACTATAGTCATATTTAGTACACACTGAGAACTAATTGCAAGAGTTTAGTAACTATAGCTGCATGCAGTATACAGCAAATACTAGATCTTTAATGACTGAAATCACATTTAATGTATAGGAAGTACTCAATTTTTGGTAATTATACTTATTTTTAGTATATAAAAATGGAAAAATAAGACATATAATATTATTTTATACCTAATATTTATAAAAATCAATTCTTTGGATATTATAAATATTCTAACTTCAGGTGTCCAGTAAAATTCCTTAATCTTATCTTAATCCTATTAATTACTTACAAAAATTTAAATATTAATAATCTCCTTCCAGAAAGTATTCTACAAAAGCACCACAATCATTCTCTTCCAAAATTAATTTCTCTTCTCATGCTGATCTCCATAAAAAGGTACATCATACTCCTATCAATCTTAAATATAAAATCATTATTAAACCATTCGAACAATTTTTTAAAAATATTCCACAAATTACACCATCAGAGGGAAAAGAAAAATTAAACAACACACCAAGGGGAATTAAAGGGAAAAATAAATACGTATCCCAGTAGAGTATCACGAGCTCGTAACCGACGATACTGTTGCCAACTGAGCGAAGCCATGAACGACATGGACTGGATTTTTAATGCCGACTCGGTCGTACGATATTCCACAGACTATTCCGCACCCCATACTTCGCGAGAAAGTCGTGAAAGTTCGTTCAAAAGAACGTGCAATTTTTTTCCCATTACTGCAACTGATGAGCGTATTGCCTACCAAAAAGTGCGCGAGACCACGTGATGTATGATTTCTTCTCATGACGCAAACAGGCAGGGATTAATGCGATGATCAGTCTCTGCCTGCGTTGAAAGTACTCATTTAGTAACTGTTTCTTGATGATAACTTACTGTCGTATCAGATACCTCGTCCAAACGTAGCCTTAATTGACTATTTGTTACCGTGTCTGGGTTGTTACGCGTGAAAGCCGTTTTCTGCAATATTGAAATAATCCTTACGTTCTAATTTGTTTGTTATTGTCTAGAACAATTCATCAGCCGCGAGGAGTGCTTGCATCGACCCTTGTACGAATCGGACGAGGTATTCTTTCGAGTTTCATTTTCCTCGTCGGAATTTCTTGCATTCGACTTCGAGCATTTTTAACTCTCAAAATTAATCGATCAAGATTGTTAGGCTGAAACGAAATCAGGGACGTGGTAATATTATTTTTACGAATTGAAAATTTATTTTATCCCGTGTGGAAGTTTTTTTTGTAGTAGAACAATATTAGGGAATGAGAATTAGTGCAGATTTGTGCATCTGAATAATTATAATTGGTTAACAAAGTTTAAAAATAAGCCTTCAAGTTTATTTTTGCGTATATTTTTGCGTTTTTACAAAAAGTTCTTTGATTGATAAGAATTTGCTACACAGTAGCGTATACTGGGGGCTTTTCTGAAGAAGAAACAATCCAGAAACAATATTAGGGTTATCTTCAATGTTGACGGAACGATAAAATATATTTCGGGAATCCGTAAGTGGGATTTTCCCGCCACGCAGTCATTGTTTGTCATCATGCGTGATCCATACCAAAATCATCGTCCAGTAAATCTCATTTTCTATATGTATAATATATATGTTTTCATGTACTTCTTTATACTAATTGCAAAGTTATAAGAAATTTCTCAAAATCACTTATAATTTGAAATAGTTTCATTTTTTGATACATAAATACCAATGACTTTTTAATATAAAGTTGTTAAAAAATAAACTCTCACGTATAACTTTCAAAGTGGAAATGAATCTTTTAATGTTTTCACTTTTTGCGTAATAACTTCATTTTAACCAAAAATATGGAGGAAATAAAAATACTTTGACATACATATGCGCATTATAGAAATTTATCATATGGAGATGCAAATGCAGATTTAATTTATAAAACATATACAAATTGTTCGCAGCGTAAATTTATAATAAATGTGAAAGAATTAATAAATTATTGGCTATTCCTTGAATTTATAATGCATTTGTGCCAAAATATAACTATAATTTTCAAAAAGTTTATAAATTATTATACTTATTGTTAATAACAGAATCAATAATGTTAATAACAAAATGCTCGCAATGTAAATTTATAATAAAAGTGAAAAAGTTAATAAATTATTAGCCATTATTTGAACTTATGACGTGTACTTGTGTCAAAATATAAATATAATTTGTAAATGTTTATAAATAATTAGACTGATTGTTAATAACAAGTTAATATGGTCAATAACAAATTGCTCGCAACGTAAATTTATAATAAATATAAAAAAAATTGCTTTAATCTTGAGTAGATTGATCATTCATCTGATTGTTTAGAGTACCTGGATCGCTAGAATACTATCCTAGTCACTTTTTCTTGGTCCAATTGTAATGCAGATGTGCATATGAACTTGTGTAGTCTGATTGTTTAGAGTACCTGGATCGCGAATACTATCCTAGTCACTTTTTCTTGGTCCAATTGTAATGCAGATGTGCATATGAACTTGTGTATATGACATTTAAGCTAATTCAGTTCCAATGTAGGAACTTCCTCTAGTTACTTTAGAGAATTTTAGAAACTGGGATGATCTATGAATGCATTCGCTCATTATTTATCATAGCATAATAATTTAACTCAGTATCTAACGTAGTGGTATCGAGTTGGAATCAATCCAAACTCCACAAGACAACAAGTAAAATAAAACAAAATGGAGTCTCCGTAGACTCACACCTAGCTCCCATTGAGAAACCAGGCCTCTCCAAACAAGACAAAAGGGCAGTTCGCGTGGATCGTCGATTTTTTGAGAGATAATTGAATTAGTCTCCGCAAACAGTTGCCAGGGTGGATGAATGATGATCGAAAGTGGCCACGCTACCATTTCGACATCCGAAATTAACTAGGAACGCGGCGGTCGCATTAGCATAATATTTAACACTCGCGACAGATCCTGCTGGCTAACAAGATCGATCATCCGAGGAACACGGCCGCCGTGGCTTCGTGGATCCTCGCTCGGTACCCACAGCTTCTCTCTTTTTGGCCTCACCGAAACCATGCTCGAACAAAGTGATACACCCACGCGGGCTGTCGACCTCTGTCTCCCTCTTTTTCTCTATCTTTCCTTCGTTTTCCATTTCCTTTTTTCTTATTCCTTTATTTTCCAAAGAATGTCAGACCTATGCTCTGTAACAAATATCTGGTTCTTGTACAGGCTGTTCCACGGGGCCCGAATTCGAAGTAAAGGACTCCGAATCTACTGATACTATTTTACAGAATTTTGTGTTAACACTTTTTTGAGAGATAAAAATTTATATATCCATCACTTGGATACAAGTATAATCGAGTTAAAGTCATTACGTATGAGAACTAAAAAATATCTCGAAGATGCGAGTGAATCTTTATAAATGAATCTACACTTCAACTTTTCCATTTTATTGGTATTGATGCAGGTCAAGTGCACACTTATAACCCAAGGATAAAAAGCGAATGAATTTTTCACTTATTTCCTGTCATATCTATTTACTTTGAAATAAAGTAAAACTACTTTTGCAAAAGTTAAAAAGTAATAAATTATCAGATCGAATTTCTATCATGATTGTGCCATCACTTTTATCATGGTTGTAATAATGTTTTAATTCTTCCAGATCTACAATTCTGGATATTTTCAAATAAAATATATATATATGACTCAGGTCACTCTCATAATTACTGGCACATACAGTTACTAACAAAAGTTAAAGACACGAAGTACCAAGAATTTTGAATTAAAATTCGTGTATCCGACAAGGAGACTGCGAGGTCTTCGAGTGAGAAAAATTGTACATTTCTTTTATTCCGTTTCTTAACTTTTATCGATAAGTGTATATTAGAATTTGGAAAATGTAGGCAGGGACTGTATCGAGGATTGGAACTCTGTTTATCCTCGATGAAACAGCCTGTAGCCTGTAGGAAGAGATGGAAGCAGGAATAATACTCTTACCGTGCTCATCAGGACCAAAATGTAGCTGAGCAAACCCTTGCCGTGGTACCTCACCATCTCCGCGTCTGCAACCACCATGATCTCGATGAAATATTCACTTGACAAGGCTCTACGTGGTCTCCAAGTCACGGAGGGATCCGATTCCATTTCCGAGTCCTGGCTGTACTCCTCGCTCAGATCATTTCGTCTTCGCTCCACGGAGTAGTATCTGTAACATTTTAAACGGCCTTCTTCTTAGGTTTTGACACTGGAGAACTAGGATATTCCGGGTGTATCGAGCGTTCGCACGGGCTGAGTCATTGTGCCTTATTGTCACTGTAATATATCCTTGGCTCGGACGGAGTATACCTTTTATGGGGTTACAGAAGGCGGAAGGAAATATTCTTTGAATTCTTTCTTTATGGCAGAGTTCGTTGTTAACACGCTACTGGGGATGTAGGTCAGTTGAATTGCGTGTGGATAATTTTCAAGATACTTTAGATTAATGTACAATAAATTGTAAGTACTATGTTTAGAGTGATCATAATAAAAGTTGGTGATTAATATGACATTTTAGATATTGAATTACTTTGATATAGTGATTACTTGATGTTGGGTGATTATGGTTATTTTTGGTATACAGGAAGCATTTGACTATTATCATATTTAGTATACAGTGAATACTGATTGTAAGAGATTAGTGATTGTACACTATGCATTTAGTATACAGTGAGAACTAATTGTAAGGGTTTAGTAACTATAACTGAATGCAATGTACAGCAAATACTACATCTTTAATGACTGCAATCACATTTAATATATAGGGAGTACTCTATTTTTGGTAATTAAACTTATATTTTTAGTATACAGTGAATACTAATTGTAAGAGTTTAGTGACTATAGTCATATTTAGTACACACTGAGAACTAATTGCAAGAGTTTAGTAACTATAGCTGCATGCAGTATACAGCAAATACTAGATCTTTAATGACTGAAATCACATTTAATGTATAGGAAGTACTCAATTTTTGGTAATTATACTTATTTTTAGTATATAAAAATGGAAAAATAAGACATATAATATTATTTTATACCTAATATTTATAAAAATCAATTCTTTGGATATTATAAATATTCTAACTTCAGGTGTCCAGTAAAATTCCTTAATCTTATCTTTATCCTATTAATTACTTACAAAAATTTAAATATTAATAATCTCCTTCCAGAAAGTATTCTACAAAAGCACCACAATCATTCTCTTCCAAAATTAATTTCTCTTCTCATGCTGATCTCCATAAAAAGGTACATCATACTCCTATCAATCTTAAATATAAAATCATTATTAAACCATTCGAACAATTTTTTAAAAATATTCCACAAATTACACCATCAGAGGGAAAAGAAAAATTAAACAACACACCAAGGGGAATTAAAGGGAAAAATAAATACGTATCCCAGTAGAGTATCACGAGCTCGTAACCGACGATACTGTTGCCAACTGAGCGAAGCCATGAACGACATGGACTGGATTTTTAATGCCGACTCGGTCGTACGATATTCCACAGACTATTCCGCACCCCATACTTCGCGAGAAAGTCGTGAAAGTTCGTTCAAAAGAACGTGCAATTTTTTTCCCATTACTGCAACTGATGAGCGTATTGCCTACCAAAAAGTGCGCGAGACCACGTGATGTATGATTTCTTCTCATGACGCAAACAGGCAGGGATTAATGCGATGATCAGTCTCTGCCTGCGTTGAAAGTACTCATTTAGTAACTGTTTCTTGATGATAACTTACTGTCGTATCAGATACCTCGTCCAAACGTAGCCTTAATTGACTATTTGTTACCGTGTCTGGGTTGTTACGCGTGAAAGCCGTTTTCTGCAATATTGAAATAATCCTTACGTTCTAATTTGTTTGTTATTGTCTAGAACAATTCATCAGCCGCGAGGAGTGCTTGCATCGACCCTTGTACGAATCGGACGAGGTATTCTTTCGAGTTTCATTTTCCTCGTCGGAATTTCTTGCATTCGACTTCGAGCATTTTTAACTCTCAAAATTAATCGATCAAGATTGTTAGGCTGAAACGAAATCAGGGACGTGGTAATATTATTTTTACGAATTGAAAATTTATTTTATCCCGTGTGGAAGTTTTTTTTGTAGTAGAACAATATTAGGGAATGAGAATTAGTGCAGATTTGTGCATCTGAATAATTATAATTGGTTAACAAAGTTTAAAAATAAGCCTTCAAGTTTATTTTTGCGTATATTTTTGCGTTTTTACAAAAAGTTCTTTGATTGATAAGAATTTGCTACACAGTAGCGTATACTGGGGGCTTTTCTGAAGAAGAAACAATCCAGAAACAATATTAGGGTTATCTTCAATGTTGACGGAACGATAAAATATATTTCGGGAATCCGTAAGTGGGATTTTCCCGCCACGCAGTCATTGTTTGTCATCATGCGTGATCCATACCAAAATCATCGTCCAGTAAATCTCATTTTCTATATGTATAATATATATGTTTTCATGTACTTCTTTATACTAATTGCAAAGTTATAAGAAATTTCTCAAAATCACTTATAATTTGAAATAGTTTCATTTTTTGATACATAAATACCAATGACTTTTTAATATAAAGTTGTTAAAAAATAAACTCTCACGTATAACTTTCAAAGTGGAAATGAATCTTTTAATGTTTTCACTTTTTGCGTAATAACTTCATTTTAACCAAAAATATGGAGGAAATAAAAATACTTTGACATACATATGCGCATTATAGAAATTTATCATATGGAGATGCAAATGCAGATTTAATTTATAAAACATATACAAATTGTTCGCAGCGTAAATTTATAATAAATGTGAAAGAATTAATAAATTATTGGCTATTCCTTGAATTTATAATGCATTTGTGCCAAAATATAACTATAATTTTCAAAAAGTTTATAAATTATTATACTTATTGTTAATAACAAAATCAATATTGTTAATAACAAAATGCTCGCAATGTAAATTTATAATAAAAGTGAAAAAGTTAATAAATTATTAGCCATTATTTGAACTTATGACGTGTACTTGTGTCAAAATATAAATATAATTTGTAAATGTTTATAAATAATTAGACTGATTGTTAATAACAAATTAATATGGTCAATAACAAATTGCTCGCAACGTAAATTTATAATAAATATAAAAAAATTAATCAATTATAGGCTATTAACGCGGAAAAATAATAATTAATGGAATCGATAAAGCTTGAAAATTTTCGATCGGAGTGGGGAGCTCGGCCGATCGGCGGCTATATAAGGACCGCCGCGACGCTGCTGGAGTCATTTGTCGGTTCGACTTCGGAAGTGTCACGTTAAAATTTTTGGTGCGCGAAGGGGTGGGAGTCCGAAGTGAGGTTGGGGTTGGCTACCCTACCCTCACCCCACCCCATTAAACAATTTAATTATTATTTTTGTTTTGTTTTCAGATACTAATTTTTTTCTTTCAGCTTTTAATTATTTTTTCTTCTTTCAGGATTTAATTATTTTTCTTTTTTATTTCAGATGTTATTTTTCTCGTTCTTATTTATTATTATTTAAACATTCGAATATTTCGTATAATATTCGAATGTTTCGTCGTTGGTTTGTGTATGTCACATCGTTGGGTTGTTTATATTTCATTGTTGGGTTGTTTATGTCTCATCTTTGGGTTGTTAATAATTTTCTTTTTCAGGTCTAATATATTTTTCTTACAGGTTTTAATTTCTTTTCCCTTTCAGATTTTAATTATTCTTCTTTTTCCACATTTTATTTTCTTGTTTCTATTCATCTTCATTCGAACATTCGAATATTTCATATAATATTCGAATGTTTCGTCGTTGGTTTGTTTCTGTCTCATCGGTGGCTTACTCCTTTTACTTGGTTAACCTTCATGGTTTCTATTCGTTCGTTTTCTTTCCTCGTACTAATCCGTTTCCTTTCAGGTTTATATCAACAATAATATATTCTGTTTTAGCTTGTAGGTTTCTCAAGTTTCCTCACGACGTCATTTCACACACATCAATAGATGGCGTGGGATCTAAGTAGACCTAAGTAGTTATAAGATAGATGCGTAGACTAAGTTCTATGTGCGCGCTATCCGTACAAAGGTAAGCTACTTAACTTGGAGCGATTATATACATTTCATATTTTTCCTCCCTTATCCCTCTCGTTTATCGAATAGAACATAATTGTTCTCGCGATAGTCGCGATCGTTCTTAAGTACCGACTAGCCTGCGCGACGTTCTCCCTTGTACTCGACAACTTTACGTTTCATAAGTCATCCTCACGATTCGTCTCCGACACTCATTTCCAGCCACTGTCAATCTCGTCAAGCATCGAGTTCCAGGGTGGCCCTCGGGTCACTGTTTCTTCTGGACTTGATGCGGGGGTCCAGCTGCCCCGGTCGCGTACGCGACTGGGGTTCGGGTACGCAGTTGGACGGACATAGTGTCTACGGTTAGACCACAGGGATGATTAAGTTCTACCCCGTGTGGCTGGGATGCGAAGTGTCTGTCTGGCTTGCAATGCCCCGCCGGACCCTCGTATCGACTCTGGGGTTACGGTGGTTTGGGGACTATCCTTGGTCCACGTGTAAGTCTTGACGAGAACGATAGTGACTGGACTTGTGCTAGGCCCGATCGGGAGGGTGCCGAGGCATGAAGTTGTCTTGTACACGAGAGTACATCTCGTAGGCTAGTCGGTCTTTCGAATAATCGCGAACTCGTTCGGGCGCGTCGCGAATTTTTACTTGCTCGCGTGTTTCATATTTCCTTCCCTATTTTTATGGGAACTTGGAAATATTAGAGTTTGTTGAAATAAAATATCTTAGCGTTGCGACAGTAAAGTTTTAGTATACCGAATCGAAATCCCTTTTTTAAGACACGAAATTTAATAAAGTGTCAGTAGCTTCACTTTAACTTCTTTCGCTCCAAGTTAGGTTAGACTACTTTTGATACAGATAGCGCCAGCAGGCTGCGCCACTAGGGCGCATGTCGGGTCTCGATGCGTAGCCACCTCCACGTGGTGAGACTTGGTAATTGGTATCGTTTGCCAAAGAAAAATCTTTGGCAAACGATACCAAGCTAAGAGCTACGCACAAAGTTTAAGATATTTCCTATCGCTTGCAAATTTTCAATGTTCCTTTGAACTTTGAAAATAAAGAATGGGAAGTATCTCATGAAATAATATGTAAACGAAGACGAATTCAGGTAAGTATTGCAAGGTAAGTATAATTAAGGTAAGTATAAGGTTTATCTTTAAGTTGAAAAAATGTAAAATAATTAAAATCTGCAACAAGTAGACAATGTATACTATGTTTCTTCACGTAAACGATGCGAAATTTCCTTGGCTAGTCATTTTGTGGAATTCTGTCGTCAAGCGCCCCCCTTTATTTTTATGTTATCCTAATACAAAAACATAAAATTGGACGAAAATTTTACGCAGAGACTGTAAATATATTGTCCACGAAATTCATGGAATGATCGACCTCCTATCGAGTTATGTATTCCTAATACAAAATCGCAAAATTGATCAAAAATTTCACGCCAAGACTATAAAAGTATTGTCTTATATAATTCTTGGAAATGACGTCATTTCTTGGAACTGTCTCGGTGATAGACCTCCTTTCATGTTATGTTATCCTGATACAAAATCGCAAAATTGGCCTAAAACTTTTCACCGAGGCCGCAAAAGAATTGTCCGAGAATTCTTGGAAATGACGTCATTTCTTGGAACTGTCTCGGTGATAGACCTCCTTTCATGTTATGTTATCCTAACACAAAATCGCAAAATTGGCCAAAAATTTTTCGCTGAGGCAGTAAAAGTATTGTCTGAGAATTCTTGGAAATGACGTCATTTCTGGGAACTGTCTCGGTGATAGACCTCCTTTCGTATTATGTATTCCTAATACAATGTCGCAAAATTGGCCAAAAGTTTCTCGCCGAGTCGGTAAAATAAATGCCCAAGGAATTTCTTGGAAACATCATTCAACGCCATCTATGATTTTGGATTGGAAGCTCGTGTGCCGACAGCGCCATCTATGAGTTTTAACTGTAACACAAGCTTCCAGCCCAAAATCATAGATGGCGCTGACTGACATTTCTAACAGAGCACAAGCTTCCAGTTCAAAATCACAGATGGCGCTAACGGTGACCGTATGAAGCTCGTCGTTTTGAACCACCTCCTTGCGCATTCTGCACTCCTGTTATCTATCACGAGCTTCCAGTCGAAAATCATAGATGGCGCTGATTGAATGTTCCTTGAACTTCTATCCTTGTCTGTCTTATCTCAGTGCCGTATCAACGGATTGCATTAGAAGTATATTGAGTCCATTTATTAACAGGATTCGTATTATATGTCATATTTTCTATCTATTATGTATATTTTATATTATATTTTTTTGACTTCTCAGTACAGGATTTTACACATAAGAATCATCACGTCTCGAAGTAAGAAAAGCAATATTGCGATGGCACACACGACGTTCACGAGTTAGATAGTCTTTTGCATTGGAGACAGAAAGGTATGTTGTAAATTCTCCGAAATTTTATAGCAAAATTGCATTTTCTTTTTCGTAGACTGTTACATGTTAGCAGCATTGTACTTGGTACTCGAATTACGCATAGCTACGGCACTGTCGAGGCTAGAGAAGTTCGCAATGGCTGCGTGGCGGTAAAACCCAGTATACACGTACCTACGAATATTTTCTCGATCTAATCGAATGGAATACTGTTTCGATAATTCCGTTCCATGGTTTCCCCTTCAGAAAAGCCTACAGAATACGATACCGTGTAGCAAATTCGCGTGGAATAAAGATATTTTGTAAAAATTCAAGAACAGTGCGTAGAAAGTACGCTCGACGGGTTATTTTTAAACTTTGATAACCAATTATAATAATTCAGAAGTACGAATAATTATAATTATGGACATCGATAAACTTGGTATACTTTCGCCCAAATTTCGAGACAAAAATGAACCTCCTAATGTTCTTACTTTTTAAGTAATACTACATTTTTGCCCAAAACCGTGTCTGTTTAGACCAACTCACAATTTTCGAAAAGCGAGGGTGATATAATAATTTCGATTACGAATTCATGTTCAGGAAAGTAAACTTTGGAATAAATACCCAATAGATATTATAATACAAATTAAAATTCGCATGGAACAGTATAATTAAGTATATATAGTACAGTATAATAGTATAATTAACGTAGGAATAATTTAATATGTAAAATTCTTTCCATAGCAGAGAAAATATTAGAATCTACAAAATTAGTGAAGCAATCAAATATTTAGTATTCATTTCTATTTCCTAAAATTTCAGAAAAAGTCCTCTGCAACATCTCACTTTTTCATTGATTAAAAATCAAAATTAAAAAATGTTTGTTATTTCAATTTCAATGGCAATGGACTTTCACAAATCTCCATAAATTTATATCTTATTTTTTAAACAAAAATTCTATAATTTTCAATTCTAGAAATTCAATAACCAATTCTAAATTTTCAGAAAATCAATATTTTCTAGCAAATCAAAACTCTAGAAAATCAATAAAAATTCCAAATTTCTGACCAATTTCTATTGCGATATTTAAACAAAAATTCTATAATTGGCAATTCGAAAAATTCAATAAATTTCTCAATTCCAAATTTCTAGAAAATCAATATTTTCCAGCAAATCAAAATTCTAGAAAATCAATAACCAATTCCAAATTTCTGACCAATTTCTGTCGTGATATAATTCGATTAAATAATTTCCCGAACACATTTTATATCAAACACCTGCTTTCATTTCCATGAAAATCCGTTACGTGATAAAAAGAATATTTATATCCAGAATACCCAGTTGACATTTCGAACCTTAATATCCAACTCGGGTCATCGACTTAAATCGAGAAACGAAGTCACGTTTCCCCTGGAATTAAGACTAAATCATCATCAATCATCGTTGCTAATTTCCCGCGAAACTTGCAGTGTCCACGATTGTCGTATTACGTGTACAAACATAAATTTCTCGCGGACCAACGCTGTCTACGATTTTTCATTCACCATGCTCTCAGACATGGTTAATGACTTTTTAGCGAACCCCTGTATCCATAATCTTTCAATTACGACTACAAATCCGATTTCCCTACGGTCATCCATCATTACCGATATTTCACAAGGCACCCCTGCCACCCGCCTTACATCAAATCGCGTTTAAGTCGAACGCCGGACAACCTCGGCGAGCTTACGGCACCCAGAGCTAACGACCAATCAAAGAAACAGCTTAAAAAGAAACGGTTGATCACCTCTCGTACCTGGCGTCGTTTCGTAAAAAATTTCGATGCCCCTCGGCCTGTCCCAGGTACTGGTTGTAGTCTTCGTCCTCCTCAGAATGCTCCATCGCCTTTTTCTCGGTTAAAGACCTGCGCTTGCGGCGGCGGCCGTCGAAGTAAATTTTACCCCGGGTCGAGTCGTCCAAAATTGGAGATGGCGCGTTGTCGTCTGTGGGAAAAAATTCCGTCGTCAATTTGGTAGGCGCAGGGGGAAGCAGGAGAAAATTCCAAGCGAAGGTGAAATGCGAAAATGTGACGAGGAGTGTTTGCTCTTTGGAATTGCTTTTGCTTTGGTACGGTTGTTTCCATTGATCGGTGTGGAGATAGTTAAAAGGGGAATTTGGTAAGTGCAGAAGATATAGTGGAAATGTAGGAAAATATAGGAATAGGGAATTGCATTGTAGAAAATATGGTCCAAATATAGGAAAATGTAGAAATAGGAAATTGTGTCGTAGAAAATATAGTAAAAATATAGGAAAATGTAGAAATAGGAAATTGTATGGTAGAAAATATAGTGAAATATAAGAAACTATAGAAATAGGAAAATGTATTGTAGAAAATATAGGAAAATATAGAAATAGGAAATTGTATTGCAGAAAATATAGTAAAAATATAGAAAAATATAGAAATAGGAAATTGTATCGTACAAAATATAGTAAAAATATAGGAAAATATAGATCTAGGAAATTGTATTGTAAAAAATATAGTAAAAATACAAGAAAAATATAGAAATAGGAAATTATATCCTAGAAAATATGGTAAAAATACAGGAAAGATATAGAGAAATAGGAAATTGTATTGTAGAGAATGAATGAGATATTTTTGTTCTTCTTTTTTGAATATTTTATTTGGTCAAGTTTAAGTGACACGTCAACTTGGTCACTGTGGTAAAAAGTATAGAAAAATATGGGAATGTGAAATGTAAAAGTATTGATAATGAGGTAATTACTATCCGTGATACAGTGGTACGTGTGCCATTTATTTTATGTTCGATTTTATTAATTTCTTGTTCTTGTTCTTGTGTATTATCTCCTTGACACGAGCTTCGTTTTTTGTATTTCCCTTCATAATGAATTCGCTATTCAAACTAATCACAACGCATATCCTATAAGCATCTGTAACCACTAGAATAACAAAAAGTATTGGTTGGCACTGTAGAGTATAGATAAGAAGCATTTTATACGCAATAAAATTTGCAATCTCAATTTAACCAGTGTATCAACGTGAAATTATAAGAATACTAATTACGAAGGTACTGGTTTCTATTATAGATATATAGTTACAAGATATGCTTGCGAAATATTTCTTTGGGGGGAGAGGGATGAAGTTTTGACGAGTTACATATGTACCTAACTTTTCAATTTTATTTTAGGAAAATAGGTAAAGATATTTTTTCCTTGGAGATATTTATATCTCGAAAATCGATAAAGATTATTAATTAATATAGAGACATCAAGTGATACCCCAAAGTGTATTCGAAGAATATTATTTCATAAAATAAATGCAATTTCTATTTTTGTGATTTGCAAAAATATAATTTTTACATGTAAAAAAGAAACGATTATAGAACTTTCTATTTTAAAACGAAAAGAATATTTCTAATATTAATATTAGTATTAATGATAATTGGACTTATGAATTATTTTTGTGATTTGCAAAAATATAATTTTTACGTGTAAAAAAGAAACGATTATAGAACTTTCTATTTTAAAACGAAAAGAATATTTCTAATATCAATGTAAGTATTAATGATAATTGGACTTATGAGGCCATGAGGCTAATTTAGAAATTTCCAAATTTTGTGATATGACTATAGTGAGAAATAACAGTTCGATGATTAGATAATTTCTCAATGTGATCTATCCTGGCAATTAGAAAAGAATATTTTTAATGCTAATGCAAGTATTAATTATAGTTTGACTCATGAGGCCATGAGGCTAATTTAGAAATTTCCAAATTTTGTGATATGACTATAGTGAGAAATAACAGTTCGACGATTAGATAATTTCTCAATGTGATCTATCCTGGCAATTAGAATAGAATATTTTTAATGCTAATGCAAGTATTAATTATAGTTTGACTTATGAGGCGATGATACTAATTTAGAAATTTCCAAATTTTGTGATATGACTATAGTGAGAAATAACAGTTCGACGATTAGATAATTTCTCAATGTGATCTATCGTGGTAATTTCGAGTATCGAGAGCTTGCAATGAAGTCATCCACGTAAATGGATGTTCTACTGCATCTCTTTGAAAAGTGATTTCTGTCGACCCGTGGACGTAAACTATTAATCATTTACGAGATGAAGAAATGTACGTTCATAGTGATTGAGTAAATCTACGATCTTAGAATACTCCTCCATTCAAGTTGGATGACACACATAGAAGGATGCGTCTATAATGCACATACAATAAGATGCTACTCCTTTGGTCCTGACAATATTTAAATTAACTGATTACTATACTAGTACTATATCGAACGATGAACCTTTTTGACACAAAATCAAAGAAACTATCAAGACTTCAAGGAATTAAAAAATAATGGAAATCACAAAAATTTTGAAAATTTCGAAGAAAATATGAAACGCTGGATGGAACAAATTTGAGCTCTTTCTATAATCTGTAATATCCAATAGGTGATTCTCGTAGAGCTTACTTTCCTGAACAAGAATCAGTAATCGAGATTGCCCTATCACTCACAATTTTCGAAAAATGTGATTTTTTCTAAAAAATCACGATTTTATCTAAAATGCAGTATTACGTAAAACGTAAGAATATTAGGAGATTTATTATTGTCTCATAAGTTACGTGAGAGTGTCCGGAGTTTATCATTGTCCATAATTATAGTTATTCATGGTTCTGAATAACTATAATTAGCCATCGAACAAACAAAAATAATCAACACCTGGAAATAAAAAGAAATTATTATTAAATTGTTTAAGAGGGTGGTGTGTGGGTGGGGTAGCTAACCTCAATCTCATTCCGTACTCCCAACTCCTTTCACACACTACGAAGATTTAGAAATGTCACTTCCGAAGTCGAAACGACAAATGATGCAAGCACTGGTGCGTCGTCCTTTATATAGGCCCCGATCGACCGAACATCGACGAAAATTTCCGAACTTTACCGATTCCATTACCAATTATTTTTCCGCGTTAATAGCTAATAATTTATTAATTTTTTCACTTTTACTATAAATTTACATTTCGGACAATTTGTTATTAACAATATTAACCTGTATTCTATAAATTTCTCAAATTTTTGACTCCTATTTTCAGAGTTCCAAAAAATCCCGAAACCGGTGATATCTAAATTTGAAAAATTCGAAGTATGTCCAGCCCCTCGGAGAATTTCCGAAATAATAAACACGTCAAATCCCACGGAGACTGCAAAAATCGTTTAAAAAACCTACCCTTATCATAAGCAAAATCTCGTCGACCTAATTACACACGTGACTTCATCGTTCGATTAATCATGGGAGCATTTTCTGCGAATAAGAAGTTTCTGCACGCCGCGTTTAATCTTCGACGACGGGGAAAACGCAGAAAAGCGGAGCACAAAAATGTCCTTGTTTCGTGGCGCATGAGGAGCCGGTTGGACTAATGGAAAACAAAAACACAACTGTTCACTGTGCAGCTGCGTGTATATCGAGGAATCGTGGCAATGATCATACGAGTCTAATTGAACGTGCAGTTGACACTTTGAGAGAAATCGATACGTTTCTTGATTCATCTCGATGTCCTTCGTGTTTCTTCAGAATAGGTATCCGATCTGGCATCGATTTTCCTCTCGTTTCATCGTGCAACTTCGATATAAACATTGTTACGTATCCGCGAATTTTTATTTCATATCGAATGGTGCATTGAAATTGCAGGAATTCTGAAGAATTCGCGAGAATGTGGAAATTTGAGAAATGGATCATTTCATGATACGTGGAAGGCATTGAAATACGTGATCGATTTGGGCAGAAAATTCTATAATTTTTGGGGTTTCTTGAACTGGTGAAATTTATGCAAATGTTACGTAGATATTTATATAAAAAGATCCCTTTTTTAATAATACAGTAGGTATTTTAGTAGATTCGAGATTCTTGAGGTATCTTCACGGTTGCATAATTTTGTACTATTTAGGAAAATATTTCGAAGATAGGAATTGTTTTTGATATATTTCTTAAAAATATCCTGTAGCACTAATCTTCTCATGTGAAATCAAGTAATTTTTAGTTTGCTCACATATACCATTTGGAGGTTATGTGGAAAATATTAAAGTCAGAATGTGTGCAATCATTTCCTTGCATATTTTAAATATAGTGCATGGAAAGAGTAACAAAAATTACTATAGATAATTCCGATTTAATTTTTGTTTTCTTTTTTCCTTTAATTCGATAATAGCGTAATTGATTATTTGTGGGGGAAGGCGGCCATCTTGGCGACGCCTTGCAATTATAGGTTATATAATTCTTGCATTTCTCGTTTATTTAATTGCATTGTCAGTTGTAGTTACGGTATAAATTATTATTGCAATTATTATCACCAATACCTTTGCTATTGTAAACAGAAACACGATGGGAAGTATTGAAATGCTTTTAAAAATCAGTATTGTTTATTTCTAGGTTAGAATTGTCTCCATTGTCTCGCGCATGTCGATTAACACGAATTCCAGGTTGTTAAAAGAATTCTTCACTGTCTAATAGCTTTGAGTCACGATGCAGTTGGAATACAATAGTTTTTGATACTTCTTTATGCAAATATTTGTAAAGGGGATAGAATTTATAGCAGCCGGTTGTTACACACGCGTGTGTGAATCACGGCTGAACGGTTGCTTAATGATTTCGTTAAATCGATTAGCCTGCATCGATTAAGCATTCATCTGATCGTGTGTATGCACGCCTCATGGTTCCGCGTGTCGAGATTGCGGTATTGATAAACAGCAATGTCTGCAGCTCGTAACCATGAAATGGAAACCATGAAATGCAAACCATTCGATGCTCGAAACCGTTTAAACAGATTTCTACTTGTCTACTGTATGTTACAGCAGAAGAATAACTCTAGCCTCGAGCAACACAATTTCTAACCAAATTATACGAATTTTGTGAAATAAAAATGGTTCTCCAATTTCAAATACAGAGTATCTCATGGAAAAATTATTATCTATGCCCATTTATGC